GAGCCGAGCCGCCAGCCGCCGCCGCCCGGCAGGACCCCTAAATCCCCTCTTCTGCCGGGCGGCCCCCGACCTCTCCGATCTCGGATCTCCCCGCGACTCCGGGGATGGAGAGTAGAGCAAGGGGATCTTGCAGGGAGTGCCGAGTCGCCCGGCTGACTGCTCTCCCGCGTCACTCTCCGCCTTAAGCCCTCCGAGCCCAGATGATAACGTGTCGTCGTCTCTCTACCTTCTCCCTGGTCCTGTGCCAATGCCCTCCCCGAGAGTCCTGCAAACCAAGTGCAGGCATCCCTGAATTCATCGGGTTCCTTTAGTTTTCCCTGCAAGGAGAGATGTTAATTTGCGACAACCACCTGTAAATTGGGTGGTTGCTAGACTGGAAAAGATGTGCGAGGTGGGCCCGGGATTTAGCTCAGCGGCTTCGTGCCTGCCTCGCAAGTGCAAGGTCTTGAGTTCGAGCCCCGGTACCAACAAAACAAAACAAGAAAAAGATGTGCGAAGTTTCTAGTAATAAAATGAGTAAGATGGCCTTCTTATAGCTGTTGGAGTCTTTCCCCTCTGGGGAAAAAAATGCAAGTAAGATTGTACTGAGTCATTGTAATGCATTGGATGGAGTCTACCTTAAGGGAAGCTGACAATTCTAAACTGTCTGTAGTTTATTATATACATTTTAACCAGAGACAAAAGCACATAACGCTGGATGTTTCTGTTACTTTTGAGTCAGAGACAGTCGTAATTCATATCATAAGCAAAGTAATGAGCTATATGTTTCTGTGTGTGTATCTGCTTTTTGTTAAACCCAAGTCTTTTTTAAAAACACATTTACATTAGGCAGCTTGTGTAATGGAAAAGGCACCACTGGGAGTCAGAAAACTTGGGTAACAACAATCTCTTTTGTTCTTGATCTTGTGATGTTGGCATAACATTTGAGTTATCCTTTTCCTCATTTGAAAGATAGTGGGGACGCCAATGTTTTTAGACTGAAACTTTGTAATTCTGAGAGAAGTTGTTTTAGAGTATCCTAAGATGCCATTTGTAAGATAATGCCATTACTCTCTGTACTACTGAAGAAAATGCTGCCAATTAAAATATGATACAATGTTTAGCAGTTATTTTTAACAGATGTTAAAATGTATAAATGTGTGTTATGTTGATGAAGTTGGCACTTTACTAATTGTTAAATGCCTTCATCTAATGTGGCATTTTACAAATTTCTGGAGGCCTGTATTAAAAAACTATAGAAATGACATTTACAACAAAATCTTGGGGCTTTTCAAACATTAACAAATGTTGCTTACAAGTCGTGAAAATTAAACAACAAAGTTTCAGCCACTTTTGATAAAACCTTTTAAAGTTATTAATATTTCTGCAAAAATTAAACCATTTTTCTCTTGGAAACGAGATAATCATTGGTGTTATGAGCCTATTGCAAGCAAGTAGCATGTTTTCTAAAAAAAAAGGCTGTATTTAATCATTGAAAATTTTACTTCTCTTACAGTATTTTTCTCTTCACAGTATCTTACCTCTTACACAGTATCTGTAGCAGCTGAATGATAGAGTTGAATTATTAGCTGCTTACTTGCTAGAAAATCATGTTTGTTTTTTGTTGCAGTTTTGAAATATTTCTAAATGCAGGCCTATAGATAGAAATAAGGGGAGAAAATGACAGTTTAAAGATGATTTTTTTTGTAAAATATTTATGCATGTATGTTTTATCTTAGTGTGGGAAATTTACAGAAATATTGTACCTAAGGTTGCAGTTCTGAAAAATTTTTTCTAAGCGCATATTTACAGTTAGAAATAAGGGAAGGATTACACAGCATGCCTGAAGCCCTGATTTGATCTCAAGCAACAAAAAAGAAAAAGGGGAGGAATGTTGGTTTAAAGATACTTGATGGCGGGGCGGGTGATGATACTGTGCTAATAAAAAATAAAAAAGACATTGAGACATATGTGTTTCATCCCAGAATAAGGAACTGTTACAAGATTTTATACTTGGGGCCAGGGATTTAGCTCAGTGGTTCCACCGCCTGCCTTGCAAGCACAAGGGCCCGAGTTCGATCGCGGGTACCAAAAAACAAAAACAAAAAAAAATTTTTTATACTTAATATTTTAGGGATCTTGAATGTCATTTTCAGTAAATGTAACAATAAGATTACTGAACTGATTGTTAATGTGTGTTTGTAATGAGAGAACTAGTTTTTTGATACTAATTTATGTATATATACCCAAAACTAATAGGGTCCTCATGAATAAACAATATTGTACATGAAAGTTGATTGCATTTAAGAACAAGAAACCAGGCCCAATAATGGTACTACTTTGGCCAAGGAAAACACTGCTTTGGTTACATTAATAACCGAAGCATATGCAAAAAATGGCAGTGATATTATTGACAGTTTTAGCTGAAATAGTTACAGTGAAATTTTTGAAGGTGAAAGACAAAAAGGGTAGTTTGCCGTTTTTTTTTTAAAATCTCAAACTTAGGGTTCTTAAGTATTTAGTGTGGAAGATTTGAATGCATTGTTCACCTGTCATAAGATACAAATAATTGAAAGTAAGCATCCTGCATCTTAAATTTAAGTCAGTTCTGGTTGGTTGGTGAGTAACAGGGTCTCACTATGTGATTCAGGCTGTCCTCGAACTCATGGCCATCATTCTCCTTCAGCCTACTGATTGCTGGGATTACAGGCCTTCACTACCACACCTGACCAGTTCTCTTCCTTAGTTACAGTTAGGTAAAGTGTTTGATAACATTTGTTTAGACTTCCTTTTTGTGTGATACTGGAGATTGAACCCAGGACCTTGGCAATGAGCTGCATACTCAGCCCCTTTTGTAGTTATTTTGAGACAGTTACTAAGTTGCCCAGGCTAGGTCCCAATTTGGAATCCTCCTACCTTGGCTGCAGAGTGCTAAGACTACTGGGACCACCCCACATACCCCTACCCATGCTGGGGATTGGAACCCAGAGCTTAATGCATGCTAGGTAAGTACTCTGCTACTGAGCAAACCTCTAGCCCTGGCTCCTTAATATATATCAGTTATTCATAATGATATAGTAAAGGTCACATTTTTTGAGATCTTTAAAAGTTCTACTACTCTTAACTTATTTAGATTTTTTTCATTTCTGTTAATTTTTATTAAACATTTTTGTGATAAGCATTTCCTCAGTATATGCTACAAGTCTCATCTGCTGTTTTTCTTCCTGACAATGTGTTTTTTAAAGGCAAGGCCACTACAAGGCCATTTGCCACTTTTACAAATGCAATCTTTTTCTTTCATGGATTTTTTTTTTCTCCCATTTAGGAAAAAAATTGTTTTGAGTGTTTGTTATGTGATTGTTGCTGATACGATGTAAATTTTTGAATACACAGGACAAAGCAGATCGCAGGCATGGTAAAAATGCAAGGAGAGTGTTCTGGCCGAACAAGAACTTGGTTGGATAGGTAACCTTGAGTGAAGTACCTTTTTGAATTGAGAAGGTGTGTGTTTTTTTTAAGACAGGGCTTTGCTGTGTAGTTCAGGCTGGCCTTGAACTCACTGTTGCCCAACCTGGCCTCGAACTTCCAACAATCCTGCCTGGGCCTCCTAAGTGCCGGGATTACAATTATGTGCCAGTGTGCCAGCTGAGAAGATACTCTTTTAAACACAGGAGACTAATTGTATTTTCTAGTTCTTAGGAAAAGAAATATTTTAACATTAATAAGGACTTTATCAAAGAATGTGAAAAGATAATTCTCAATGGGGAAAGTTTCACAGGGTCAAACTCTATTGACAGTGATGCAGAATTTATTGTATTTATTTTCAAAGGGAATTTAAACCAAAAGTATTTTATAATTTGTTCTTAAGAAAAGAACTGCTTTAATATTAATAAGAACTTTATCAAAGAATGTAGAGATAATTCTCAATCGGAAATATTTCAAAGGATCAAACTCTTCATTGACAGTCATGCAGAATTTATTGTACTTACTTTCAAAGAGAATTTGGCATATAGAAGTACACCTTAAAAAGTTGTAAAATAATTCTACTATATTCCAAAATTAAGAGTACATAATTTGTTTCTGTAAGAGTTTTTAAATAGCCATTTTCTCTTCATTCTTTTTAAAAATCCTGGGATACTCCTTCATTTTTTCCTAATTAAAGCCTTTTATCTGTTATTTGGATAGCCTAAATCTTTAGCTCATTCTTAAAGTAGGTTTGTCTTCTATATAACTCTTGTCATTGATGTCTGAATGTTATTCTACTATC